AAAAATCAGAAAATTTCAGATTTTAATTATGCCAAACAGGCTTTTTTTTTTTTCATGTACAGACACATACACATTTCTAGAGCAACTGAGTTCAAAATATTTAAAAACATCATATCTTTAGAGTTTCCGATAGACAGTCTTGCGCACTAGAGATAAAAATGCTTTATTCTCTACAGCGTTGCACTGCCCACTTTGAAATTGTTGAGTTTTTTTAATTAAAAATTCATCAAAATTTTACAAAATATGAAAATGACAATAAAAAAAATTTGGGGTTCCAGGCGCACATGTTTGGATGAAGGAGTTTATTATTCAAATTTTGATGACTCTAGGTAATGTCGTTTTTTTACAATGTGGAAAAATACATACATTAATGTAGATTATTCGTTATATAGTTTCTTTAAATATAATACAGGGCGATAAGATTTGGTGGCGACAATTTGAAAAGTGATACATATCATTTAAGTGATTTGACGCAAAATACTGTTTTGAGACTAACAGACCTTCTGAGCTAATGCCCCTTTGGGATAAAAAAATACGCTTCACCAATGATAGCAGAAAGTAAATGAACAGGATATTTGATAATCACTTAACAATAATATCATTTGTCATGACCTTAAACTTCAGAGGAATAAGATAAAACAATGCAAGCATTTAACACTTGGTACTTATGAAGACTTTTAACAACGATCTTATAGCAATCCCTTTCATACTGGTATTAGTAAGCAGGAACCTTCTGAAAAAACGCCAGAGGAGATGAGGTAACTCCAAACAAGATTGTTCAGCCTATCAACCTCCTTCAAAAATAAAATTTAAATTTTCCTTATAGTAACTTCATTATACACCAAAACTCTCTCCTCTCGACGAGGCACACACACTCTGACTGACTGCGGACCAGCAGGATTTATATAGCTTTCAGCTTGTGTTCGAGAAAATTCTGGGCTAAACTGGTAAGAATTCGTTCCAGAAGGTTCTACAACCATCCATGGTATATCGCCAATTTTGTCGCCAAATGTGGCAACCCTAAAACTGCTTTGAGGGAAAGCCATCTTGCCGCGCCTGTATATTTCGTAACAATATTTTGTGATTAGATTTTGAGATCACTAATTGCTGTCGACAACAAATAATGCCATCTGGATCACTGTGTTTCATGCTGGAAACTGCAAATAAATGAATGTGACATCAAAACGTAAAAACAACCTTATTTAGTAGTATAATGAAAACCAATCTTGAGGCAGCTAAGGTCCTCCTCATCAGAGAAAGAAATACATAGAAGAAAAAATAGGAATAGAAACACGTGGTGCTTATCAGCACTGCACCGTTATAACTATTTAATCAGAGTTGCTGGCCCCTACTATTTTAACTTCGCTAATATTTCTTTATGCTTGATCAGACAGCCTGGCTCAGTAAAAGTAGGCGGCCAGTGCAACTCTGATTAAAAATCTAGTTATAACGACGTGCAGTGCTGATAAGCACCACGTGTTTCTGTGATTCCTATTTTCTTCTTTCTATGTATTTCTTTCTCCTGATGAGGAGGGACCTTTAGCTGCCCTCGAAATCGATTGAGTGTTTCATTATACCTACGCTAAATATAAGGTTGTTTTTCACGGTTTTGATTGTCACATTAGCGTTTTCTCTCTAGTCTAAAGATTGCTACAATTTCTTAATGCAGAGTCCCACACTGCATGTATCGATGGATACACGAAGAACATTTTACACACACTATTGAAGGTAAATTGCATTCTTGACCGCGTATAGTCTTCATTAGATGAGTGATGCCACCATCTTTTTCAGTTTCAAATATTTCATAACTTAAAGTTTCACTCAATTTGCGTCTTTTTCTAATTTCTGCAATTTTGTTGTTAGCTTTCCTTTGTGCATCACCAGCAATCTATCAAATAGTCGATCCCTTACAAATTTCATGATGGCATGAATTGACTTGTCTAATCTTTTAACATTTTTTCCATGGAGATAAACATATTTTAATGTTCTGTGCATTCTTTCAATGTGCATATTTGTATTTAAACCACAATGCAGACGATAACAGTATGCCCACAGATTAGCATTTTTTATATACTGCGAAGAAAAATAGGCTGCAAAATCTGTTGTATCGGGATCATTATGAAATTTTTCCATTGCCTCTGCTAACATTTTTGTGAAAGCTGCTGGATCTGTTTCTTCAAGTAATGTTCGAAGGATTTTATACACCTCAATTTGCTTCTCATTGTTTTTAATTTTACGCAGGTTCTTCCTCCATGCTCTGTCAACATGCCATGAACAATATAGACGATTCTTTGGCTCTTCCATTTCTCGTATCCATGCATTATAAATTGACTCGGCCATGTCAGACATAAAAACTTTTGGTTTCAACATCCCAGATCTAGCCTTTATGCATGAAAGAAAAAGAGATAAAACGGCTTGATCTGTTCTATTAGATATCAAGAATGCACACGGAAAACCTTGCCGAACGTCATCAATAACAAGCAGCGTTACTAATTCGAAGTCATAGCCATTCATGCCATGTGTGCCATCCATACAAATACAATCACAGCCATATTTTTGTAAAATCTCCTTTTGTGCATTATTCATTATAATAAGTACAAAATCCTCGATTTTTAAATTAGAATTTCCTTCTAATATGCTCCCTTGCCGTTTATAAAATAAAACACATGAATCATCATTGCTTTCCATTTCCATAATCAACGATTCCACGCTAAGTGAATCATCTTTATGCCTGACTGCATCTGAACATAGATTGTATGACTGTTCAATATTGTGCAGGTCTTTTTTTGTAATAAATGTAGCCTTGTCAATTCAGAACCTGAAACAGAATCAGGTCTAGAATATAGTCTGCCAAAAATTTTTCCGGCATATAGACAAAGAATCTGTAAGGATCCTAAGAGATTCTTTGCATAAGACCCATACGATATTTTGATCCTTGTAATGAATGAGTTCGAATATCACGGATTTCCTATATTTTTTTATACTGAAAATAATATTTAGAATGATTATCAAAAACGAATTCCATTTGTTTACAACTACCTTGTGTCTCTCCCTGACTTTCAGATTTAAATATAACTAGATCTATGGCAAATAAAAGAAAACACGGAGCACTGCTGGATTTTTTGGGTGTGCTTTCAACATATATTTTGAACATGTTTCCTTCTGAATATCTTCTTTCCAGTTATTAAAATGCATCTAATGAAGAAAATTCTAAATGTTCTTCGTCTATTCTTATATCATGATCATTTTCAAAATGCAAAATGATATTTCGCTTATTAAAATAGGAATCGCATACTACACATTTGTGGGATTGGTGCAAGGCTGTGTGCAAGGCTGTGCAAGGCTTTGGCAAGGCTTTGTGGGATTGGTGCGTGGTAACAAGGCTGCTCCATGCATCTGCCTTTCATGCGCTTTTAAATGAAATAGTTCGTTGAATTGGCGAGTACAATTAGAACACTTAAATTCGCAATCTTTCCTGCGCTTTAAGTCATGCAATTTTGTGGGATGAACACTCCCCACATGTCTTTTCAAGTTAAAAAATGTGCCATACATTTTTCCGCACTCCATACAAGAGAAACTTAAAGTCAACACTTGATTTTCAATGTCAGCAATATCTGGGCCTGAAAAAATCCTTCAGATGTTTCCAGGTGTATCGGCTGGATTTCCGAAGAGAAATTACTTGGCCCTGAAAAGGGCCGTTTTATTATTTCAGAAGATACGCTAATATTTTCTGAAGACATATTCACAGTAATTTCAATCACACACGATGTGGACTAAAATTCCCTATACTCAAAATCCCTTTCCCTTCTTCATTTCCCAGAGAAGGGGAAAAATCGGTTATGAGCAAAAGTGAGGTTTGGGGTCTAGACGCTTGTGAGGATTTACTGCACCCCCAAAATTTCTTCACCCAATCGAAAAACCATATGTGCGGGTGACGTGATGAATAGATACACCATATGGAGTTTCCCGCAGAGAGGACCCTGTTTTGCTGGACAGGCGAGCAAGGAAAGGTTTTACAGCGTATTTTATGGAGGGGGAAATATTCGTTGGGTTAGAAGATCTACATGGTCGACTGGGAGCTCGAGCGGGATAGTTTATTCCACCCCTTTGTTTTCGTCTGCGGAGCTGATGACAAATTTGGTGTGGCCTTGGAAAGTTGAATGATGGAATAGCGAAAAACGGCTCTTCTGGTAGTCGGGAAACGCCTTCCCGTGAAGATTTCTCTGTTTGGGTTGCTGGATTTGGCTTCCTGCTGATCACCATCTACGCCAAAGTTTCAAAACACGCGACAGCTATTAAAGTGAATGCTCAGTGTTTTCAGGGAAGACGAGGAAACCATTTTGAATGACACGGTTTCTTTTATGAAGTAACCAAGGAGACTTTTTTCGATGGCTTCTAAGATGCAGAGCGAAGACCAGCAGTCGGTGTTCCTGAGTAGACGAAAAAATTAAACAACTTACCCCGAAGGAAGGCGTAGTAGCACCAGACTTGCAGAATGGCCAGCGTTTTGGAGGTGACCGGAGTCCTGCCGGTTCGAAGCTGTTGTGGGGCGGACAGCCTGGGCTCCGAAAGTGTTGCACATTATTAATTCTGATTGTTTTTCTTTCACAGAAACCTCTACCGACGAAATTGTTATTTCCAGTTCGCGTCACCTGTATCAAGTACCCAAAACATTGTTTGATGCCTCCGAAAGGTGAAATTGTTAAATTTGTAAGCAGGTATGTCTTTTCAATTGTTTCTTCAGATTTAAGGAAGACCTGCCGCCACCCTTGTTAAAAATGTAAATTATTGATACAAATTTGCTCATTAATAAACGTTAGATTGATTTTACCTACTTAGCCTTGTAATTATTGTAGTTAATTCCTTACACTGGACCTTAGTCATAGAATGGGTCTAGCCTACACAACGCATATTCCTGAATTTTAGAATTGTTTGCATATTTTGTTCTATGTTACACTTTGATAACTACTCATCTCCTATGTTATGTCATTGATACATTATTGGTTGAAATGTTCTGTTATGTTACCCATATACATACAGTTACCTACCACATAATCTGGTATGAACATTCATAATAGTAATTACACAGTATTGATGTTCATTAGTAATTAATACGTATGAAATTATATTATGCAATAATGATATAACAACTGTAACCAATGAATCTGATTTTAAAATTAAAATAAATTCTATTTCCAGAATTCTAAGTAAATGAATCTGAAACATGAAGTAAACCCACGGCCTTAGGTAAGTGGAAGTAATGTCACAAAAAACGGGTGTATCCACCTCTATCTTGGATCATGTTGCCACCAGCAGTAACGTCACATCTTGCGTTTTACTGAATGTGACATCTTGCATTTTACCGAGTGTTTGAATAAGGTCATGCACGGTAGTTTTTTGTAGCAACACATCAAAATTTTATTTTTGTGGCAATGACTTTTTTTTGTGGCAACAACATGTTGAATGACGTGTTTGGAATAACATTAGGTTTTATTAATTTTCCTTTATTAATACCTTTAATTATTTAATCTGTCACCTTTTTTAACTAAACATCTCGTTATTTAATATTTATTCATTATTTATGAAATCTAGTTCTCTTAAGGAGTATACATTATAGATTTTAAAAAGACAATTGAATAATTATCTTCTAGCCTTGTCAAACAAAACAAAGTCAGAAGAAGGGCCAATATAAATCTTTTATTCGAAACACCGAATTAACAATTACCTAACTTGGGTTTACACAAGCCAAGCACTTCTGGCTTAACAGAAATACGTAACGTTGAACAAGTTCAAATGTTGTAGATTAGCTTAACGACTCACAGAAATAATTTAACGTGCAGGCAAGGCCCTGGTTTGTAGAAAACGGGTAAGACAAAGCTAAATGGCTAGAAGTACTCAACGTCACAGAATCAAATCGCTAATAATCACGGCACAACGTATCCTGGAACGGGCAGGATACGCCCTAAAACTAACTTCCGAAATTCTTGCTTAAACAACACTTCTTTCTATCTTAACTGAATAAACGCTCCCTATCTCATTTACATTCTGGCATGAAAAGCATGGGTCAAAAAACAGTTATAGGAAAGTAATAAAAATTAACTATTAGTTAAAAATAAATAGATTAAACCTCACAATTTTATTGATTCCAGAATTTATTTCAATAAGAATACTTTTCCCATAAAATTACCAAACCTGCGCCACTTTTTGCATGGGAGACTAAGACTGTAAAGCTAAGTAGTATCTAGCAATACTCTACTCAAATGAAAATGTTCTGAACTTATTAACAAAATAATTTATACATGTACTTTTTATATTCTTTGTTAGTTTTCAAATTGCGGTCTATTTATGACATTTGATTCCTAGTCAAATATTGAAGTGATTCCAAATTTATGCTTTCCCAGAGCATTTTGTAGTCACATATGCTCCGTGCAGAAATTTCTCCTGGCTTTCTAATGCTACAACGAAAACAGAAAAATATGTAAAAGCTTCCTGAAAATTTTTATGTTTGTTCATTTGCAAAAATGTGCATGAGTATCCACATTTAACTCTTCAATGTTTATTTTGCTACATCACAATTAAATTTACAAGCACAAATTTTGAAATATTTTCATGTTACACGAAATTTAAGTATTTGTGGTAGCGTTCTGTTTTCAGAAACATTTTGAGACTGCGCTCTCTATAGCGTTTTAGATACCTAGAAAATATTTTCTCTTGCTATTGGTGTATGCTAGTGAATTTACATACCTTTTTTGGTAATTTGTATCTTATGATGTTTTAAAATACTTTAAAAATATATTTTATGGCTCTTTTATATTGTTCACTCTGACAGATTTGAGTGTTTGGGAGAATAATAATTTATTTTGTTCAGGAGCATGAAGCTGATGTTTCCTTTAAATTTTATTATTCAGAGTATTACTCACTTTACTGCAGAATGCTAGATTTTATTATCCTTATTCAGCGTTCATATGAACTTTGGTATTCCAAATCTATCACGTAGTTGTAATTTGGCCACCAGTAGTTAGAAGCCGAGTGCAGTAAATCCAAGTTATCCGAGATATGAAATACAATTTTGAATTAAAGGAAATTCGTTGAATCTGGAAACAAAGGTTATTCACATCGATGTGTAAGTATTTTTGAAGCTTTTTTGGAAATATATAGCGCTTAACATGTGAATTACAAGCAGGGAAATGGCGAGGGGCAGCTATTCTGGAATATCTAGATGGTAATCATTGATAGTATCATTGATAGAATTGATAGCATTTTCATTTTTTTAAACAGTGATTCTAATAAAGGAAATGCGCCAGCAGTTTCATGAAACAAAAAGCGGGTATTTGATACTAACTCTTACGTAAAATTTACAATATTTCTACGACTTAATTAAGTATTTTGTTTTTTAAAGAAGTCCAAAAGTCTTTATGTAGCGTAAACGTATCACGAAGCATACCGTGGTACTTTTCCCCCTAACATTTGGCATTTTTATTTTGATTAGCTTGTTTTAAATATATAATTTTATGTTCTATATCTGAAGTGTTGTGGTGTTAATTCTGACTGCTGCGGGCCTGTCGTAAATATTTAGCTTAAAAATGCTTTAAGTTGTAAGGTATATTTTAATTTTATAACAGTTATTTTAATTTAATTGTGCTTGCCTATCGTTCCTTGTATCAACTTAAAACTCCCTGCCAGAAGGAGTTTTT